GGTTCATGTCCTCTTTAAGGAATTCGGTGAGTCCAGCTACATGAAGTTAACAGAATGAAGGTTGGTAGGGGGGCTCTTATTTTTTACAAAGCAGTGGAGAAGTTTCAAAAACCATAAACAGTATGATTTGTTTTGGTAACAAAGAGGTGTTACATACATGTATTAAAAAAATATATTGGATGTAAGAAGTAATAAACCCCCTTATACCTTTTTACATTGTATTAAAGAAACCAAGATGATGTGTAGCTCTGTTTTTCATAGTTGAAAGAAGTTGAGAACACATTCTAGATCATGTTTAAGATCATATAGGAACTATTCAAGAGCTAACAGTATTGCTGGTGACATGAAAATAAAGGAGCTCAGGGTATTTTGTTTTTATTTATGCCAAAGATGGATAAGATACAGCTTGTTCAGACTGTCAATGCAGGAAATTTCTGGTAATAGAAAGTTATTTAATTTAGCATAAAAAGGTATAATGAAATGCAAAAGCTTGAAATGAAAGCTAAATATATTGATTCTGCATATAGCATGATGTTCTTAATAGTGAGGATAACAAAATGCTGGAGCTGTATACTTCAGAAATCAAAATTATAGAATATCTTCTGTAAAGAGAGAAAAACAAAAGTTGAATCCCATTTGAAGCACAAAACCTTGGACTGTGGTGTTTATTTGTACCAGAATATGCACTGTCCTTAGTAGATGGAAAATTAATGTGTGTGAGACTTGCAGAAACTCCATGAGGGAGCTGTAAAACCATATATTCCAGGAATGGAATACTATGTTCAGAACTGCAAATCTAGGTGCTAAGAGTGCTGTTTTCATAATTGCTATCTTTTGACAAAATCCATCCAGAGATGGATTAACCTTCTGGTTGGTTAGAGGTGTGGTTGAATTCTTTGATCATTCTAGTACTTGACTATTTAGATAAACACATTGGTGCTTTTTTTAACTGATAAATCACTCAATACAGTGGAATAAGTCTTCTGCAAGAAAAAGCTGTCCTATATTCGGGTTACACACTAAATCAATTTTGCAGTTGGTTTATATAATGGTGTAACCAGCCCACAAGCATCTGCTCTTAGGGTGCTGCATAGTCCTACTCAAACATGTACCAGTCAGTGCAGATCAGATGACAAGGACTCCTTCAAGCAGCAATGCTACTTCTGCAGCACCCCACAATTTCCAAATATTTTAAAGGAGAGGCTATAAATGGAGGTTGCCCATTTCTATGTGTCCCTTTTAATAAAACAGTGGATGTGAGATCATGGTTTCTGCTTAGTAATTATAACCCCTTACTTTACAGTTCATTTCTGTACATAGGTTGCTTTTAGTCATGGAAGAAGTTAGTTAAGTACTCAAAAAAAGTTAGAGATGCTTATTTACATAGCTTGGTGTCATTTTCTTCTATGGAAGACTTTTAATTTTGAAAAAGGTGCCATATGTAATTTAAGAGTTTTTACTTGGCAGGAAATATCTGTTAGCTTGGTAAGAGATTCTTTATGATTCCATGTCTTCACTTCCTTGTCCTTGCAAAGAGGAACAAATCAGACTGCAGTCCTTGTTATTGCAAAAAGATTTAATCTCACTCTACTGAAGAATTACCTATCTTAATGAAGAAAAATATGTCTTACCTCAGCACCTTCTGGTCCTGAGAAGTTCAATATCTGCTGCAAGTAACACTGATCTCACCTTCAGGAGTCAGTTCTGACGTATCTGCACTTTTGCTTCTCAGTGAACACACAGAGACTTTCAAGTCTTTGAATTCCATTAGTGCTGAACTCTGAGAATAAGGAGACACATCAGATTTGTCTGTATCATATCATAAAAATGAGTCACAGAATAAAAGAGCTGTTGGGTGCTGTGGGAAAGTGTGCTCATAGATCATGCTATGAAAAGCTTTTGCCGTTGATGCCTCTCCTGTGTATGTAATTATTCACTCGCAGCTTTGACTTCCAGTAAAAAATATTCATATTTGCATGTGCTCTGATGTCAGGCATTCAAGATACAGTGAGTATGAATATGACATAAGAATATCGTATCTACGCTAATCAATCTTTATACAAGTGACCAAAAGGATTTTGAGAAGAAATCTGAATGAGGTTGTAATACTGGGAAATGGAAATTTTCTTCAACTTGTGGTGGAATGGCCCAAGATATGAAAGCGTAAATTCTTGGTTAATAATGTATTATGTTGTGATGGAAGTCTGCGTCTTGGAAGCTAAATCCAAGTACTTAAAATTAGGCAGCTCATCTACAACTGATTTGGTTTTTTTTTTTTTTGCAAAATAATGATTAAATTTGAAATATTGAGATGTAGAAATACTCTGTGAAAAAGTGTTGCATACAAGTGAATGCAGAGCAAAAAATCCTGTTTCTCTCACACAGATCTTAAAACGAGGATTAAATGTTGTTTTCAGGAAGTACTTTTATTACTGTCACACTTTCACTGCTTGATGCACATAATTCTTATTCTACTTGTTTCACTCTAGATCCCAACAGAAATCCAGACTTAGTTTTCATCTTTTTCCCTTTTATGTATAAATTAGGATAATCTGGCATGTCTGTGAAGGCCCCTGGGAGATCCAACATACTGATAAGAGAGAGAAGATAGTGAGTGACTTTTATTCTTGGAACCCAGGGTGTCTACTTAGAGATATTCAGAGGTATTAGTCCCCTCTATTAATATCCTCAGAGATATTCCATTGTCCCTAATAGCAGAGTCATGATTTAATGAAAAGGCAAAAGTAAAAAGAATAAATTCAGTCCAAAGCCTGAATTGTAGCTACTTCTGCTGCATGGCCTGATAGAATACACTGTTATGAAAAGATTTTAGGTGGTAAGGTTGTACTCCTCCATGCTTGGCAACAAAGCACAGGACTTGCAGAAGACGGGATGAAGTGCCAAGAACATGTGCCAAATCATCATATCTCTTCAACTCCTTCTGCTGGAAGGACCTCACTGCAGCTCCCAGAATGTTTGAAAACCACCATCAGTCAGTGATAATGCTGCTATTTAAGCGTCAGTCCTTACTTCAGGGCAATTGGCCAGACCAAAGCAGACAACACAATTTCTCTCTTATTTTAGTAATTTGTGAAGTATTTCAGGGTGAACACTGGTGCATACAAATGTGAATTTTTGGAGAGTGCCTTATTTGTTTGGGATATGTTGGGTGATATCATCTACTTTGTTAGGATGTTTCCTAGAAAACTAACTTAGCATGATGCTGATGCTGGAAGGTGACAAACACTTAATCAAGGCAATGCCACTGTAATTTTCCTTAAGGACAATCATTAACTAGTGCCATGTATTTGTACTGAATATTAAACTCAAGTTGAAGGGAAAGCACTTACCTGTTAAAACTCCCACTTGGTTGGAAATCTCTAGTGGGTTGATTGCTTGCTTGGTTGGTTTTGGTGCTTCCTCTCACATTACAACAGGTAACTGAGAAGAATATAGAGTGCCACAGAACAGTCATTCAAAATGGACCAAAAGACCAACAACTCTTAAAAAATTATCTTAGGCTACAATACATCTTGATTGTTCATTTTAAATTGGTTGTTTAAATTATGAAGATTTTTATTATTTTATCAGTTGTGATCATATTCAGGAATAAAAATTTGGGAGCAAGCAGCAAAGGGAGTTACTCACTTTCTTCCTCTACCTTGCTGTTCTATAATGGAGTTATGATATTTTATACACAACTTTTCATCTGTAGATACCACTGTCTCCAGCTTACAAATAGGAAAATGAAGACACAGGGAAGAAAATATACTTTTTCCCCCCACTAAGGTTATCCACTAGACCAGTTGGCAAAATCAAGAGTGGAGCTCAGGTCTCTCAAGGTCAGTGGTACCCGTTAAACTGCTTGTTTAACAACTGGGAAAGTAATTAATACATTAAACTTTTAAACTTTAAAGTTGCTAATGTACGAATTATACTTCTCTACAACCAATACTAGAATAGTTTACTGCTGTAAAAGGGGAAGTAAAGATTCTGACATTTACCTGCAGGTAAAATAAGTGGACAATTGGCTTTTCTGCTCAGGATTTTACAATATGCTAATATGATTATATATTAGAAGTAGATAAGGCTTGATGTTGTAAAGTCTTTTTTCTGATCATAATCTTGAAGTTTTTAATATGTATGAAGGTGTTTCATGCAACATGGTTGTTAATATGTTTCATGTTTCTCCTTTTGTTTTACTTTTTGGTAATATTCTGGAATAGCAGTTTCTTGTTAAATTCTGTGACTCAGAAGGGAAAGACTATCATCTAAGTTAGGGAGATGGCAATTTAGCCTGCAAATTAAAAATACCCAGAGAGAACAGAGAAAAAGCTACATTCATGATATATCTGGACAACAAGTGTATCAGTGTTGTTTCCAAGTGAACTTTTTGGGTCACCAGAAGCCATGTAGCTGTGGTTTCACTCAGACTGGAGGTTAGCCTAGGGAATGCAGTTCATAGGTTGAGTTGTGTAACTCTGCCGTGCACTGCATTGTTTTGAGATGGAGACCAGTAGTAACGTGAGCTTTTATGGAAGTGTGAAATGACTCACTCTAAAAATCATTTTCTTAGATATAAAAGAGAAAAAATGCTGTAGAAGAGCGTTACTGACATAAGTCCTAAATTATCAATTTATGAAGTCTTGAGAAATACAAAAATCGGATACATTCATGTGTTATATGTACCAATAAAGTATTAAAAATAAGTATAAGATGCCTCCTGCTGAATTTGTGTGTTAATTCATGTACTTTATTTCACAGGCAAAAAAAAATACAGGGAAGAACAGATCACTCACAGCTGCACATGTTTCAAACTGATGATGTTGGTACTTCAATTAGAATAGTGGAAAATCAGCATAAATTCTTTTGTTTTACAGAAAGCAGGAAGAATTGAGGTTAATTAAAGGTTAATTGGAGTTTAATTGGTAGTCCTTTTTTCCCCTCTTTCCTTCTGGTAATAACAGGAATGTTAGAATCCTTGACTTTGATGGCAACAGATTGGGCAGGCCTGGTGTTGATTGCTACTGCCAACATGAAAGCGGTGCTGCAGTTCTGCAGCTCCAGTTCTTAATCAATGAGGTAAGGACATATTTACTCAGATTCTTCTGTATAAATTTAGTTGAATAGGTCAATTAATGTATTGTAATTGAGTGATATAACTTTTCACATTGACAAATTTGTGCCAACAAGTAAGTGGCATGCATCCAGAGGACGTTCACCATGCAGCTTTTTAGAAGACTATTTATGAGACTGCATGCAGGGAAAAATATTGCCTTCATATACATCAGTATAAAGCACTGAACAAAAGGCAGTCAATATATGAATGTGTGCAGGGAGATGTAAAATCCATTAAATTACTAAATATGCTGCACAGTGCTGTTTCAAATAGAAATTAATAAATGAGCTAAATCTTTCTCTGGAAATATATTGATGGTTATTGGCTGAAAACTCCAATATGGGGATGTGCTATTACTTGAAGCAAGGAAAAGCAACTGCAGAGATCATCAATCAAACCATCATGCTTAGTCTTTGTAAATAGTTTGTTGAAATCAAGTTTAGACAACGTAAAGAAACAGTGATAAATCATACCTTGCTTGGTGGAAGATTTCTGAAGATGATAGTAGGCAAGAAGACTTTCTGGAACATAAAAATCAGGCTTTTTTCCTTAGGACCTTATAACTTGGCTAAATCTAGTCGTAGTTCAGTTTTGATTAATTTTCTCCCATAATATAAGGAAACACTCTTGACAGTTTCAAGTCCTCTCTCTAAATGTGGAGATCTCAGAACTTCTCAGGAGAAGAGTTTTAGTTTTCTGATTTTTTAAACCTGAGAAATATTTATTTTTTTGTACATCTGTCTGGAGAAAGTAACTGAACCACATAAACCGAGGAAGGAGGGCTAAAACTTTAGAAACAGTCAATACAATGAAATTCTGTAGAGGAATGCAGGGATGAAAATAGGCAAGATTTGTATCAGATTTTCATTAGGTGACCATCAAAACCCCTAATACATAGAATTAATTTCTATGGTGGGCATTCTTTCTGACTCTTTGGGAATTAAAGCATGGATTACATTGTATTAGAAAAGGCTCACTTTTGTAAATTTCATTGGCATAGCTCAGTGCCGAAAAGAACAGTTACTAGGATTAGGAAGCAAATTCAAGATGCAAAAGTAGAAGTTTATCAATCGGTTGTAGTTGTATGAACTAATCTTTCTAGTTACATCCTTGCCCTTCCTCGGCATTGCCTTCTGTTTGAGCAATACCTAGTTCCTCTCTGCAATAGTACTACACAAGGATAGATTTTTTTGTAGTGGACTTGATCTGAGGTATAAATGTAGTAAACCACTGCAGGAGCAGTTCAGAGCTTCCTCTACAGTCATTTTCACAGCTAGTCAGAGTACAGTGAGGAGAAAGAGAGTCAGAAAATTACTCCAAGCTGCCCAGTCAGATAGAGGTGTGGACTTCAAAAGATGTCCGTTTTCAGGGCAGTCTTCATAGTGTTGCTGATCTGTGATAACAGCTTTGTCCTTTTGTCTACATCTCTTAGTTCTTCCTAGGTCCTCTCCCCGTTACTTGTCCCTACTTTCTCATTTACACCTTCTTTTCATAATTCCAGTTTTGAATATTCCCATTATTGGAATATGACTACTAAACTGTGCTTGGCACTGTTTCTTGTGTGCATGTGTGTGCACTAATCCCTTTATCCTTTAGTTACATCCTTCACACTTGCCTTTTTAAGTAAGTGTTGTTTATTCTTCATTTCATTAATCTCTCTACTTACATGGAAATGCATGAGAGTTGACTTGTATAACCTTGATATAAACCTTTTATTCGAATTTCAATTTGATGGAGTTTTAATTTGATTTTGGCTGATCTAGTACAAATTTAAAATGTTTAGATTTACCAAGTTCATTCAAATTTATTGTTATTTATGGTAGAATTAATTTTTTTCTAGAAAAAAGGAGCCATATTTCGTAAACTGTCAATTTTGCAGGTAGATCATTAACAGTAAGGATAAGAATAAGACAGAATCTGTAGAACAGTAACATGTTTCTGTATTTTGTGTCTGCTCTAGGGTGCTTTGGTCAGTGCATGTGCAGATGATGCACTTCATTTGTGGAATCTCCGACAGAAACGACCAGCTATCCTACATTCTCTGAAATTTAACAGAGAAAGGTAAGACTATATGGCATAAAATAAAGATCTCATTAAAAAAAGAAACCCTTACTTTCTGGATTTCTTATCACTTTTTGCCTTTCTACAGATGGGTATAGATGTGTCTTGATTTTTTTTTTCTGTGAATCTTGTTTCCATAGAACAAAAACTTCACTTTCTGCAACCTTCTCAGAACGGGAAAAATTGTGTCTGCTTTTTGTCAAAGTGTTCCTCATTTTACCTTTTAGTTGCATGAACTGCTGTGAACAGTAGTGTGGGGGTGTTTTCTTAAGACACAAGCACTGTGATCCTTTTGGCTTATCTGTTGTTCAGTATTAGACAGAGTACCTCAGCTGGCTGTGGGAGGGTAATAATTATTTTCTTCATCTTGAAAGTGATTTATTTTTGTAATGTATTGGAAGTTTAGCAGAAATAAGTTATGAATTTGGGAAACTATGGTAAATTTTTAAGTGAATCAGAGGCTCTTTTCCTAAATATTACTTTATGAATACCTAATTGTAGAAATCCCTACTGAAAATAGATTAAATAAGTGGTTGTAATTTTCAAAGTCAAAGAGAAGCTGAGCACTTTAGTCTGTATTTAGTAAAACCTGCTATGATGTTACAGAACTTCAGTGCTACACTTTTATTAATATGAAGAAAAAGTTCCCTGTTTCTACTAAGGAATTAGGTCAGTAGTCAGAAGACCAAAATTCACTGCATAAATGCAGCAGTTATTTTTGACTGGAGATTTAAGTGATATTGTCATTCTCTTAGCATATACATTCAGTGTTTATTAAGGTGCAGCAACTTTTTTTTGATATTTGTATATTTGCTTGTGCAAATACAAAAAGTGGTGAAAGGTATCAGTACTTTTACTAGAGCTGTGAAGTAAACAGACTCATCAAAGCTTTAGCTGCAGCAAATCTGAAAATCATTATGGAAATACGTTTTTCTTTGTTGTTTATTATCCAGATACATGTCGTGTGTTTTCACTCAAATGTCACCAAGGGGCATGTTTGGTTGTGGGAAGTACAATGTAATAATTTAGAAAATATACAGTCTGATTCCAAAGAATTTATTACCTATAGCTAAAGTGTATCAAGTGGTTTGGGACTGCGTGAGGGAAGATGAAAAACAAAAATTATGTGTACATTTGCTAGCTGCTTTTGAACAGTAAATCATCATTTTACATATGTTGAAATATTTGAATCTTAGTATTCTCATCAGGCAGGTGCATTATTCACAATTTGTCATTGATAAATCTAAATATTGTGGAAGTTATTCCAGTATGTCTTGGTCTAGCTCTCCCAGCCACCAATCTGACTTACAATTAAGGAATCAACACTTATAAAAATGCAGTCTCTCTTCATCCCTGTTTGCCTTCTCTTCAAAGAAAGTAACACAGTATCTTGATCCGGTATTTTATCAGAATTTTTTGATAAAATAAATTCACACGCATTTGTGTTTTGTTTAGAACAAAACATTTGTCATCAGGTTTACCTAAATTTTCCTTTTCCTCTGACACTCTGAAACACGGGGGAAAATATTTGCAAGCAAGTTATTTGGAATACTGGAAAACTTTGCCAAAAACCACATTTTCTCTAACAGTATTTTTGAACTGAGGTTTAAACAGGAACTGAGAATGTAGTTATTTGTAACAAATTCATGGCTAACTACACTGCCTTTTATCAAAATCTACTAAGTTGTGAGTAAAAAAAAAAAACCCTGTTAGTTCTTTTATGCATATTTTAAGTAACTGTTTCAATTACTGCCATTTAAATAATTTTTATTAGCACATCAAAGGCTATGAGGCAAATATCCTGCTACATTATGTTGTCAAAGAAGTAAGTCCAGTTTTAAATTAAAAAAGAGTTTTCTTTAAGTACAAAGAAAGAACATTGTAGGCAGTTCATTTCTTCTCAAGGTTCTCTAGCACTGCCACAAGCTTCTGGTTGCTTGGGATTTTTTTCTGAGCACTTCATTTTTATTAGATTTTCTTTCTAAACACTTATCAATTAATTTCAAAGCATCTAACTTTCAATTTTCTAAGCTCAGTTTACATATTTAGTGTGTAAAATTCAACATAAACTTCTGGGCAAGTAGAATAAAGTAAGGCTATTATATATGCCTAAGAGAGTTAAGCCTAAAAGAGAACTTCCCTTTTTTCTGGATATATTTTTGTTGTTAGAGAAAAGAAAATATAAATTACATAATACTTTGCTATAAGAAATCTATTGCAAAATGGATATAAGGGGAATCTGAGATGCTGATAAAGCAATAAGATAAATTTATTTTTTTTTCCAAGAAATTCAAAGGCATGTTTTTCCAAAAAGCAGTGTCTTCATCACTGTTGGGACAGTTACAAATATTTTATTTTCACCCCTCTCTCTCATCTTGCAGGAGAAGGTTAAGTGGAGGCAAGATTCATACTGAATAGAGAAAGATTCTTTCATTTGTCTTAAGTTTGTGACCCAATGAAGGACCTGATTTTGATGCTTCTTAAATGGGAAGAAATACTTGTTGAGAGAAAATAGGTTTTAAAATACTGATACATGTTTTCAGAAAATAATATAGTGGTGAAAAAGGCCATATAGGGAAGCGTTTAGTCAGCCAAAGGCTAGTTCTTACTAGAATGTAATTTATAATGTAATTTAATTTTAGCTTTAAACAGCTTCTACAGAGCCAAACGTGTAATTATTCAGATGCATTTTGGCTATGAAAATGGAGCATGTGACTCCTTCAAATTTTTCTATTTGCACATCTCTCTTGAGGGTTTATAAAAATTGTAATTTTATTCATACAGTATGTTTATGTCCTTGATGCACTGTTTGGTTTAGATTTTTGAACAAATGGCAGATTTACTTCATGTACTGATGTAATACAATGCACTTAAAGTTCTAATATTTTACCTACTTGTGATGATGAAGATAACTTTCATGTACAATCAGTTTATTGTGAGTTTTTATGGTATTTAATGCATGAACCATACAGCTGTTAGATTCTGTTAGATGGATGAATGCTACTTAAGTCTTTGGTTAATCCTCAGTGGACCAGTCATCATACTGTTTAACTGTTTAATTTTCAATTTGCTTCAGCTTCTTGACATTTAAGATTGCCATCTAATAGACTAAAATCTGCTCTTAGCAGTGTTTCTGTATAGGTTTCTGCAATCACTTCAGTCAAATTTCCCAGAGCATATACATACAAATATATCCCCCCTTTCCCTCTCATAAAAATAAAAGACATCTGTTCGTTTCTTTGACTGTTGGTAACAACATAGTTATAAAGAGCAAAGAACTCTTAAATGCAGCAGACTAGTTGTCTTTCACTTAGCATGTAGCATTCAGTATGAAGACACTGAATGGTTTATGAATAATAATTCATTGAAAAATTACATTTTTATAGCCATTAAATCAGACTTTGCAGCTTCTCCAGATTTATTTTTTTCTTCTTCTGACCTATTGTTAAACTAATGATGGTGCAACATTAGCAGTATTAATTTGTCTCGTAAGTCACTGTTCTTTCACTAAGTACCTCTTTGGAGCAAGTGTAGAAGGAACACTGAAGGGATATATTGGCAGGTATTTTAGTTTTACAGTGTAATGCTCTGGGCTTTTTAGCAAATTATGTGTTTTTGCCATGTATCAAAATGTAAGGTAACCATCTTAAATTCCTATTGCTCTATTTGTAGTGAGATACAATGCATCAAGAACCTTCAAGAAGGTATAAATGTAAGCTTGGCCTCATACCAAGAGCTGTAATGATAAGACAGTTTCTCAAAGACTTGCTTGACTGTAGCATATGGTTGATAATATATGATTTGCTGTTCCTTTTATGAATACGATGGACAGGTGAAACTTTTTAATCTCTGGAAACACTCTGTAAGAATCTCCTCAGTATTTTTTAAGGTTAATCTTATGGACACCTTCCATACATCAGTGCCTCCTTTTCCTTCCATGATGTCATAGGAGATACCAGATTCATCTGTCTCTATGTGCTACAAAGAACATTAGGATTAAGTAAAACCAATGCAAACTATTATAGTTCTTAATTGTTTTTATTATAATCAGAGTAGACTTCAGAAAGTACAGCTTTAAGTACACAACAGTTTACATATTCCTGTTTAAGGTTAGTGTAGCTGGGATAGGAAAACCAGCAAGGACTACAGTGTGAAATCCAGATCCTTTAGACCTGCAGGCACTAGTTTCACTTCTGAGCACAGTTCTTCTGTCATTCTGAAGCTGAGCTGGTTCAATTGTGTTGACTGACATGGGGAGCAGCCCCTCCTCTCTTCCTTCTATTAGCCAGTGCTAACTGCTGTGTGACAAATGAGCCACAGCAGCTTATCCACTGATTTAGCATACATGAACGCAGTGTACGAGTTCTGTTGGGTCTTTAAATCCATCTGTATGCCCTCTGCACTGATGCCATGACAATACCATAAGTGCCCTTCTGCAGAAGAATCACCAGGTGACACAATCTGTACAACTGGCTTTGAGGTTCTAATCTGTGACACTTCCTTCAGTGTTAACGGTATGCTGGAACAGAAGAAGAGGAACCTTTTAAGTGGGTGACTTTTAGAGCAATTTTGTTAGTTGTAACTTACTACTGATTAGAAACTTGGCTCCTAGAACTGAGATTTTGCAGTATTTGAACAAGGTGATTGAGCGTATTAAGACTATGTTTCAATATGGTCTATACTCTTTCCTGAGAGCAGCTCTATCTTTGTCTCTTTCTGTTGCTGTATCTTTGCAGGATTTTTTATCCTGTGTTCTTGAGAGTATCTTAAATATTTGGTCTCTCCTTTGCTGAAAAACCTCATCAAAATGACAGCAAGGGGCTCTTGAACGATACTGGTGACTGGCTGTGCAGTCTCAGCAGTACCTGCATCTGTTCACTTATGTGATAGGGACTTGTGAGTTAGTTTAAATAACTTACCTGTCATTGCCTGTTCAAGCAATGTGATAGCTGTGATAGCTTGCCTGCTCATAAATGAACCTCCTTGTTAATATTGTGTAC